TGCACCTTTTTACCAACCAAGCCATTATAGCGACACAGATCACTCTGCCTATTCATGCCAGAGTCCTGCGGGAAACGTGATTGACAGGTGGTCATTTGTGTGTAGCTTCTCTTTATTTATTTATGATTCGTTTATGGGTAAAACAAAGAGCGTGCTGGTCAGGTGGTTAAAAAGATAGGCTACAAATGATTAATTAGTAATGGATTAGCTAACAATTCATAAATAATTAATTTACGGCCGCCTACGACGATGCCATCGTCCATCACGATGTTTCATATTAGACATCGTACGATGCCAAATCGACATCGCCCAACCCTAATATGAACATGCACAATATTGATATTGCTTCAACATACTGTGGATAGTTATTTCTGTTGTTCAGTTTAAGAGTGTTTTAAGAATATTCAGATCGTTGTGTTGGCAATAATGTGCCGTTCATCAAGACTTTATTTTTCAAACATTGATATTTTCACATTAATCTGACCTTCAACATTGAAAATGGCGAGTATTTTGTGTGCTTTCACACTTGGTTCAATTGCCTGGACCGTACCCAAGTTCGATAGTCCCCCCCCCCTTGCCATCTTCTCGGTTGGTTTGTGTTCACACTGTTTGTTTTCCTTCGGACCCCCGGTACGCTTGCGTCATCGAGCTGCTGTTTTGTTTACTGCTGTTGCTAGGTGACAGTCACGAAAGAGACTTTCAAAATGGAAAGACGTCCGCACATCTCAGTCTATTTGCTTTTCTGAATCTTTTAATTTATGGACATACAGAAAGCGACTCGCGTCCATTCATTTATTAATTTTCTTGTCGGCTTAGTCCCTTTATTAATCCGGGGTCGCCACAGCGGAATGAACCGCCAACTTATCCAGCAAGTTTTTACGCAGCAGATGCCCTTCCACACACACATTCACACACACACACTCATACACTACGGACAATTTAGTCTACCCGATTAATCTGTAGCACATGTGTTTGAACTGTGGGGGAAACCGGAGCACCCGGAGGAAACCCACGCGAAGGCAGTGAGAACATGCAAACTCCACACAGAAACACCAACTGAGCTGAGGTTCGAACCAGCGACCTTCTTGCTGTGAGGCAACAGTACTACCTACTGCGCCACTGCCTCGCCACTTGAATCCATCTGCCGCAAAAAATATTATACACATTCAGAACATCATACAGTGTCTGCAGAAGCTGCCTTTGGAGGAGACAGGCAGACGTTATCACTGTGTTTGCCCTGGCTTAGTTCTGCTTGTCACCAAGGTACAATACGTGACACACACACACACACACACACATGAACGAACGTTATGAACACGATGGTTTGTTGTACAGTTGGCGGTTCACTTCGCACCGGACCAGATTTCGCATGAACCGTACCCCACCTCTTTCAGGCGGACTCGGGTGCGCAGCCAAAGTTCTGAAGACACATTCACACTAGCTATGTCGTCAAACGAACCCAGTGCTAGTGTGAAAGCACCCTGGATTGGCCTTTCGTTTATATTAGTAATGAGACTGTTTATTATAAAAAAGCTGTTTCTCTTGACACAGTTAGGGAAAAGTGTGTATTGTTCTGTTCATAGATTTATTTTGTTTTTTTCCATTTCACAAGGAAGCTCTTTGGAGTGTTCTGCTGTCTGATTGGATTTGGTGTATATGGCCAAAGTCCCTTTAAGGCAAGTCATTTCACTCGGCAGCCATCTTTGAAATGCCTCTTGGCCAGTATGCTCTAGCTGCATCCCAAATGGCACACTATGCACTCATGCACTATGCACTTACACACTCAGCAGGATAGTATATGTATGTAGTGTCGTTGTTTTTTTTACTAAGCGGAAATTCAAACCGTTTCCCTGATGACGTGTGACGGTTGCCAAATCAGTGAAATAAACAACAGAATTATCAAATAATACCTGCTGTGAGTATACCTGCGCGCTCAAAATTCACCATCGGGAGGCGCTATAATCACTCTCATAGGAGAATTTTGCTTTCACCATCCAAAATAAATAAAGTATCCAACATGTGCGTCCGATAGCTCCGCCACTACGTGAGCAAACCTGCGGTCGTTGAGTGTGTGAAGTGTCCATCATTACACACCTCATTATACCGGCTGAATGAGTGCATCATCCGGGTAATTAAAGTGCACTTATCATTTTTAGAGTTTTCAGTGTGAACACACTACTTACACTATTTATACTACAAAATGGCCTAGAATAGTGCATAAGTATTCGATTTGGGACTCAGCTTCTGTCTAAATGGGAAACATCAAATTCTCCAAAACTGTTGGTCAAGCTTACAATTACATTACATATTTGTAATCACCAATAAAATAAACAACAAAAGTCTAATACGTTTAGTTTCTAAATGTCCGAATCAAAACAAAATCGGCATAGTGTCATGTTGTCAGAGCTAATGCGCACTCGAAAGGAACGAGATCACAACACCAAGCTCATATATGGCCATTCTAGACATGATCATCCTCTGGATAATGATCGCGCAGCTCTTCTGAAGTAATCTACGGCTTGTTCTTGATGGTGAAGCTCCTCCAGAAATGACTCTTTGTTTACAATCTACGGGTGTTTGAGTAGCTGCTGTCATGTGATGTGTGTTTGACAGGATGGACTGCACCTCGCGCTCGTTTCATACATATTTTAAAACCAACACACTTTTGTTTTCAAGTGCACTTGCTTCATTTAAAAGTAGAGATTTCGAGCTTTATGTGGATATGTCTGGGAAGCAAGTGTTGGCTGAGATTCCAGTGCGTTTGTTGACCAACAAACCTATCGTAAAACCACACGTCTGGTCTGAGCTTCTCCTCGGAGAATCGTCAGTCAAGCGATCAATGATTGGCTCCTGTACTAGTAGGCGGGGCTTTATTCGCCATATTGACCATTACACTTTTCCCCATTCAAAACCAAACGGGTACATGTCCTGTGTATTCTAGAGTCAGTCTGTGCAGGTACACCTCACTCCTCTGACTTCTAAAGGTGCTCTAGCGACTGACGCTAGAGGCTATGGTCTTTAGCATCCTTGGTAGATCAACTGTCTCCCATGCGGAAGGTCGTGGGTTCGATACCAGCTCGGAGCGGGTTGGGTGGCGTAGCACCGGTGGGTATACATCAGCTCATATTTTTATTTTTGTTTGTTGTACGATTTTTTTTCATTTAACATTATCTTTCGCTGCAACATCGGCAGAATGCAAGTGACCCACAATTAACAATTTTTATCCTTGTTTAGTCAGCTAAGTCTGAAGCTTAAGTGAAAGTGCACATTTGTGGATATTTATATTAATGACAGCAGCCAAAATGATCTCGCTGTCATCATTACTATTAATAATCAACGACACGAGACTAATTTAAAGGAGCACTGCATCATTTCAACGAGTTGAACTGTTCTCTGATATCTACATAACAGGTTTATTAAATTCAGAAAATCTCCAGAAACGGTTTTATTACTGCATAAACTACACACAGAGTGACAAGATCCATCATTGACCTTATTTGGATCAGTCATGAATATTAATGAGCTCCACACAGATTCTCTCTGTCGCGCACACACACACAGCATGATGTACGCTGAATAAGGGCATTATAATAACTCTTATTTTGTCAAAAAACTACTGTAACAAATGCAGTAGATGTTCAATCTGTTTAACTGAAAACTAATCACAAATTAAACCTGGATAAACACCCAAACCGGCTTTGTGCAGCAGGCCTCGGGAGTGTGTGTTTGAGCATGAACACACTGACACACACACACACGCTCATGAATGTGACTCAGGATTCATGTCGCTGCATCCATGTTCACACACTGCACTGCCTAAATAGTGTCTGAAAGCATTGTTATTGTGTCCTGGGTTGCCAGGTGTTCACTACTGAACCAGCCACTCTTAAAATACTCCACTCTTACTGGTGAAGCACAACATTACTATATGCGTTATGCGCGGTTACTTCTTTAAAGGACTCCATCTTTTTAACTTTAAAGATTGTAGGCGCGATAGCCTAGTGGTTAGCACACCGACAGCAAGAATCCCGGTTCGAGGACATTTCCCAACCCTACCCCCCCCCGCTCTCTCTCTGTCCCACTTTGCTTCCTGTCTCATTACTGTCCTATCTAATAAAGGCAAAAGGCCAAAAATATATATATATATTTATAAAGATTTTGAATAATTCAGCTTTAAGATTGACTGCCGTATTGTCTTATAAGTCTAATTTATCGTCTGCATCAAATCAAAATGTGCGGTCTTTGTTTCGCTAGCGCACATTGTTGATCTTGAAATGTAAAACATTAACCTGTGTAAGCTAATCCACTGGAAGAACGGTTTGTTTTGGTTATTGTTAATCGTTCAGTTTCATTTCGGCTTAGTATCTTTATTAATCTGTGGTTACCACAGCGGAATGAACCGCCAACTTATCCAGCACATGTATGGGATTCACCCATACACGCACACACTCATACATTACAGCCAGTTTAGTTCATCAATTCCCCTGTAGCTCATGTTTTTGGACTGTGGGGGAAACCGGAGCACCCGGAGGAAACCAACGGCAATACGGGGAGAACATGCAAACTCCACACCGAAACACCAACTGACCCAGCTGAGGCTCGAACCAGCGACCTTCTTGCTGTGAGGCGATTGTGCTGCCACCCACTGCGCCACCGCGCTGCCCAATTGTTAATCAAAATATTCTTAGCCACGCGCCTCCAACCATTAGTTTGCTGTGAGTGACAAAAAAAGAGGAGGGGCTCCAAAATAAACCACACCCCCTTCTCAATATTTAGTATTTAATATTTGGATGCAGCACAAGTGTGTGTGTGTGTGTGTGTGTGTGTGTGTGTGTGTGTGTGTGTGTGTGTGTGTGTGTGTGTGTGTGTGTGTGTTTGTGTGATTTTGGTTGAGTGGATGTGTGGATTTCTGTGTGTGTGCTTTTTTTGTTTGTATTTGTGAGGGTGTGTGTGTGTGTGCATACTCGCGCATGCATGTGTGCTTGTGTGTGTGAGTGTGTGTTTGTGTAAATTTGGGGGTGGAAGGTGTATGTGTTTGTGTGTACGCATGCGAGTATGTGTGTGCGCATGCGTGAATGGGTGTGTGAGCCTGCAAGTGTGTATGAGCGAGACTGCGTGTGGGTCAATGTGTGTCTTTTTGTGTGTTTGTGTAGGTTTTAGTGTGTGTGTGTGTGTGTGTGTGTGTGTGTGGTTGTGTGTGGTTGTGCGAGTGTGTATGTGTGCAAATGTGTGCATTTTTGTGTGTTAGGGTAAGTTTTAGTGAGTGTGTGTGTGTGTGTGTGCGCGCACGTGAGTATGGGTGTGTGTATGTGCGTGACTGTGTGTTAATATGTGTTTTTGTGTAAGTTTTGGTGTGTGTGTGGGAGTGAATAATGTGTGTATGCATGCATGCGAGTGTGTGTGTGTGTGTGTGTGTGTGTGTGTGTGTGTGTGTGTGCATATGGGAATGGCTGTGTATGTGTGTCTGTCTGTACAAATGTGTGTATTTTTGTGTGTGTTTGTGTTAGTTATAGTGTGTGTTTGTTTGTTTGTGTGTGTGTGTGTGTGTGTGTGTGTAAATGTGTATGTTTGTGTAAGTTTTAGTGTGGGTGTGTGGGAGTGAATAATGTGTGTGTGCATGTGGGAATGGCTGTGTGTCTGTACAAATGTGTGTATTTTTGTTAAATATAGTGTGTTTGTGTGTGTGCACGCATGTTAGTATGTGTGTATGCATGCGTGAATGAGTGTGTGAGTGTACAAATGTGTATTTATGTGCGTTTTTGTAAGTTTTAGTGTGTGTGTGTGTGGGGGGGTGAATAATGTGTGTGTGTTCATGCGTGAAAGGGTGTGTGAGTGTGTATGTGCGTGACTGTACAAATGTGTGTATTTTCATGTGTGTTTGTTTTAGTGTGAGTGCGCGTGCGCGTGAGGGTGTATGTGCGTGACAAATGTGTGTATTTTTTGTTTTAGTGTGTGTGTGTATGCATGAATGGGTGTGTGTGTGTGTTTGTGAACGTTTCAGCATGTGTGTGTGCACGTGCGCGTATTTGAGTATGCGCATGAATAGGTGTGCAAGTGTGTGTGTAAGTATGAGCGCCTGTGTGTGTGTGCGTGCGTGTGTTTCTTAAGCTAATAATGAGCAGACTTTTCTGCGCGATGACGTAACTGGACTTAGGATCTGCCTCCATCTTGCTTTTATCGTAACGAGTTTCCATGGTAACAGCAGTTTACCGCCAAACCTCCATCACGAGTGTGTCATCACTGCTGCAGTATCGGTCATGATGACGGAGAGCCCTGATTCAGTCACTGCAGAACTCCACTTAAGTCTGCGCAGATCTACTGCGGTGAGTCACTGTAGTGCTACTCTGGAGCACCCTCTGCATCACCGCCACTCTCTGCTGACCGGGAAACACTGCTGCTCACTACGGGGAATGTTTCGTACAGGAGTTTTCTAATGTTTTCTGAGCTTTACTGTGACACAATAGCTGAGAGGATTAATATTGGGGGAATGTACAGAACAACACGTCTGACTGCTCTGGATAATGATTATTTTATGTTTTGGATTGTTTTACTAATGATTATTTTATGTTTTGGATTGTTTTGCATCAGCTCAGCTCTCTTATTCTGATGAGGTGAACGATCGATCAGCTGAAAATAAACAGAAGATTAATGAATGATGTGTTTGTTTGGTCATTAGCAGGCCCACATGGCGTGCAGAAGCCCACAGATGTCCGCAGATGTTCAGCCCATCATCGAGTCTGCGTGTCTACTTGTGTAAATGATCATGCATGCATTCATTCATTTTCCTGTCGGCTGAGTCCCTTTATTAATCTGTGGAATGAACCGCCAACTTATCCAGCATATGTTTTACACAGCGGATGCCCTTCCAGCTGCAACCCATCACTGGGAAACACCCATTCACTCTCTGTTAAAATAGTGCGGTAATCATACCCCAACATATATAACCCAGCTATAGGTTATTATAGCACCTTCCTAATTTGAACCCGATGCATTGGGTTATTTTGATTAAATGTAATTATTGTCCATTCTAGTATTGCTATTGGAATTATTACTAGTACTACTATTAGATTTATAGTCATGGCTGTGCACATACAGCTTTCAAAAATATTGAAAATGCTTCATTCCATTACATTTTGGTTGCAGATACTTTTGTTAAAATAAATCAAGAATCACAAACAATGAGGAAACTGAAACAAATCCTGTGTTGATGGAGCCGAATGTGGAGCTGTAGAGATTGTCCAGTAGCTGCAGCAGCTCCACTCAGTGTCCACAATCTACAATACATTTAACCTCATCCAAACACTTCTAAAAGATGGTATTGGATGGTGAAACGGATATAAAAACACGACACGGACAACAATATTATTGAGTAAATAAACTTTATAAAGCGAAAACAACATCACGCACGCATATTAATACAGCTGTTCTGTGTCAGTTAAATCAGTTGACTGTTGAAATTCAAATTTCAAACCCAACTGTTTGAGTTATTAATTAAATAACAAAATAAAGGTTAAATAACCCAACAAAGCACCGAATATTTAACTCGACTAGTTGAGCCAGGATTTATTTTCTCTTTGCCTTGATGACAGTTAATATATATTCTTTAAGACGCTTCTATACACTTAAAGTGACATTTAAAGGCTTCACAAGGGTAATTAGGGTAACTAGGCAGGTTAGGGTAATTAGGCAAGTTATTGTATAATGATGGTTTGTTCTGTAGACTATCGGGGGAAAAAATAGCTTAAAGGGGCTAATAATATTGACCTTAAAATGGTGTTTAAAATATTAACAACTGCTTTTATTCTAGCTGAAATAAAACAAATAAGACTTTCTTCAGAAAAAAAAATATTATCAGACATACTGTGAACATTTCCTGAATCTGATCAACAACATTTGGGAAATATTTAAAAATAATAAATAAATAAATGGGGGGCTAATAATTCTGACTTCAACTGTACATGAAGGATATACTCTAGCATTGTGTTTCAATACAGTCTAGATGAAGTAAAGCTTTGTCATAATTATATGGACTGTTTACCAAATGCATGTTGTGTTCAGAGATGTTTGAAGAATGTACAGTTGAAATATATATATAAAAATGAAATTTTCAATCTGAAATGCCGATCAGTGCATATTTGATTAAACTAGTTTTAATTTTTCATATTTAAACACTTTATTGTAACTCTTAATCAATTTGTCATATATTAATTTACATTATATTCAGTTCATTTAAAAAATATAGGGATATCCCTATTATTTAAAGGAACAGGCATAATTGTGTGTGTTAATAATACTAATAACAACCGACCAAAATATGCATTTTCCTAAGGGTTTATGAAAAAGCAAATTAAATGTTTTAATATTTAAACCCTTCAGAAAACTTGTCTGTAACTATTAATCAACTTCTCCAGTCTTAATATAAATTATAGAAAGTTCTGTTAATAATATAGGGATATTAAGGTTCCTCAGTATGTGTAATTGTGTGTATCTGATATTAACAATAATATTATAAACCAACCAAAATATGAAATAAAATAAAATGCAAATAATTTGTAAAAATAAAATGTAATTTATTATTTAAATGTTAAAATAAAATGTAATTTATTATTTAAATGTTAAAATAAAACAAAATATATTATTTAAATGTTAAAATAAAAATGTATTTATTATTTAAATGTTAAAATAAAATGTCATTTATTATTTAAATGTTAATAAAAATGTATTATTTAATTGTTAAAATTAATTTAATTTATTATTTAAATGTTAAAATAAAATTTAATTATTATTTAAATGTTAAAATTAATTTTAATTTATTATTTAAATTATAAAATAAAATCTAATTTCTTATTTAAATGTTAAAATAAAAAGCAATTTATTATTTAAATGTTACAATAATATCTTATTTATTATTTAAATGTTAAAATAAAATGTAATTTATTATTTAAATGTTACAATTTTTTTTATTTATTATTTAAATGTTAAAATAAAATCTAATTTATTATTTAAATGTTAAAATAAAAATGTATTATTTAATTGTTAAAATTAATTGAATTATTTAAATGTTAAAATAAAATGTAATTTATTATTTAAATGTTAAAATTAATTTTAATTTATTATTTAAATGTTAAAATAAAATCTAGTTTATTATTTAAATGTTACAATAAAATGTAATTTATTATTTAAATGTTAAAATAAAATGTAATTTATTATTTTTCATGTTAAAATTAATTTTAATTTATCATTTAAATGTTAAAATAAAATGCAATTTATTATTTAAATGTTACTATAAAATGTAATTTATTATTTAAATGATAAAATAAAATTGTATTTATTATTTAAATGTTACAATAAAATGTAATTTATTGTTTAAATGATAAAATAAAATTTTATTTATTATTTAAATTTTACAATAAAATGTAATTTATTGTTTAAATGATAAAATAAAATTTTATTTATTATTTAAATTTTACAATAAAATGTAATTTATTGTTTAAATGATAAAATAAAATTGTATTTATTATTTAAATGTTAAAATAAAATGAAATTTATTATTTAAATGTTAAAATAAAATTTTATATATTATTTAAATGTTAGAATTAATTTAAATGTATTATTTAAATGTTTAAAAAAACTAATGGAATATTTCAATAATCATCTAATTGTTATTTTGTTACCCACTTATTTTTTCCCAAAAAAACCCCACAGAGAAATATAATGGAGACTGTAAATAATTCAGCGCTCTCCTCACTCTGCTTCAAGCGCGCCAAACCCACGTGCTCTGCTGGAGTTCGCGCGCTTTTAAGTGACACTAGATGGCGGGAAAGAAGCCGTGCGCGTGAACGTCAAGAACGCGATGAGGTTCCCTCCAGGGCGGGGATTTCAAGACAGAGCTCATCACGTGACCACATTAACGTAGATTTTATTGGACGTATCCTACATGACGTCACTGCCAGGGCGGGAGTTTTCCGTGAGGGAGGGAAACGCAGGAAAACAAAAGCGTAATAAACACCGCACATGCGATTAAAATCCAACCTACATGCGGATATAGTTACTAAACAAGCACAGATGCCCGTCTCGTGTGTAGCTTGAGCTCAGCATTTTGAACTTTTTGGATGATCACGATGTTTAGCACATAATAACAATTGAACATTTGTAAACAGTCACAAAATGGCAGCATAATTAAATAAATATATGCATTTATAATTGAAATAAATAAATAATAATTAAATGGACAGCCTACAAGTTTGTGAAGTAAGCTAGATGTGCTCAAAATGAACGCGTGTTTTAATAAATGGAAATAAATGTTAAAGGGACGCGTATATATGAGAGGGGGCGGGGCTTCAGCGGACGCACATGCGTGATTATTCACTGCATTCACAGCGCGAAAGAGACCGACAGCACTTATAACGGCACTCAGGCATTTTAAACCGTAGTAACCGTCTTTTTAAAATTTGAATTTGAATATTTTTGAATTTGTCTCGCCGTCGTTATTTTTCTGAGCGTGTATCGAGTGTGTCGTGCTGTGAAGAACAGAAACAGTAGAGTGAAAGTGTGTATAAGTGTGTGTGAGTGAGTGAGAGTGTGTGTGTGTGTGCGTGCGCGCGCGCTGCTGGACTTCAGTGTGTGTGTTGATGTGATATTATGGCGGTGAGTCTGGATAAAGACGCTTTTTACCGCCGCATCAAGCGACTCTACGGCAACTGGAAGGTACGGAGAGCTCAGTGTGTGTCATAAACACCACAACATCTGATTATTGATCATATTCGATCATATTTATCCATATCTGATGTGTTTATGTGCGTCTTTGATGCTGAAATCCTCTCTCACACACATCTCAGGCCTCAGCTCTACAGAACTGTTAACGTTATATAAACACACTCCGCCGGTTGAGTTCGTGTTTTAGTGTTTATGGTGTGATTTCTGTTCGTTTATTAAGAAATAACTCAACTTTGCTGTTATTTTGAACGTTCATGTGTTGATTAGCGCAGCGGCTAACTGGTTAGCATGCTAGCATGTAATGCTTCCAGTTTTCACGTAATTTCCGCCTCATAATAAATCTCGTGTGTAGCATAAACACACGTTAAACACACAGACAGTGTGTTTCGTTCATGTTCTTGTATTGGTTTATGGCTGGTGTGTTTTTCGAGGATGCAGAAGTTGTGTGAGATGTAGCATGTAAGCTAGCTTAGCTCGTACTAAGACATGCTGCAGGTGGGAAACAGAACTGTTAGCATCAACTTAAGTGTTACTTTGTTGTAAACTTGAGTCTAAATTGTGTTTAAAGGGTCTGATGACTCGTTTCCTGAAGAAAATTATTGTGCTTTATGCTTATTGTTTTACATATGAAGGGTTTAGATGCAAAAACCTATCAAAGACATCTGATATTTTCTTCTAAAATGACCATTTTTCTCCAACTCCTGTGTTTAGGCTAGGTAATTTTACTTTAATAGTGACAAATAAGTTATTAACATTGCCTTTAAAGTGAAAAAAACTGAACATAAACAAGAGGCTGAAATAAATGTTCAGTTTAGGAGAACATCTCAGATAGCTTTGAGGTTTTTGCATCTGAACTCTTCATATATTCTATAATCACTTCGCTATAATATGATACCCTGGACCACAAAACCAGTCAGAACTGTGTGGTTAAGTTAAC